AGAATGCAAATTCATGTAGTAGTGCGTCTCCCTGTCTCACACATTAATGCATGTGTCATGACACCCACCCGTAGTCCTAGGTGAGTGTGATAAAACTAACAATCTCAAAATTTCTTATTATTGGATATAAGTGTCTGGAAATCTTGACCTCAAAGCGAAAAAGGTTCTCTTTTATCGCATAAATTCTCCTTTCCAGAGTGTAAATAAGCATTACTAGAAACTTTTAAGAGCTTTGTTTATCAAGCTTTAAAACAGGCAAGTTTATTGAGCTTTGAGATTTAGTGTTTTAATTTTTCACTGAAAATAAAAATTAACAAAACTTAATAATCGAGACTTCACTTATAATAACATGAACCCAAAAAAAATCTTTATCATAGGATTGAGTTAAATAAAACGAGTTTTCAATATGGGATAATCTTTTCTCATGTAACACGAGAAAATATTAATCCCTTACGCTCACAAAATAAAGAAGAGAGGAGAGAGAAAAAGTATAGAGTGGACTCCATCTTCGAATTGTGTGTAATGGAGGAAATTATTTTCTCATTTAACATGAGAAAATATTAATCATTTCAATAGACAGCTTCCGAAATTGATAAACACCAAACTGATATATTCACATATTTATTTATTTATTTAAATTCTAGGCAAGAGCATATTTGAAATTAAAAATTTTGTTAAAAGTTGAATGCAGTAGGAAGTCATTTATTTTTGTTCCATCCATTAACTTTGACATATTATTTCTTATCCACTTATTACTATTTCCTCCTAATCTCAGCCTTAATAAACACTCCATATGACCATTTTTCGACGTGAAAATTATTGCATTGTCATCTGATTGGTGACTGTCTCAATCTAACTTTGAAGTCGCAGCCACCGTAATCATAATAGCGACAACTATACTTCAACTAGTGCACACTATTTGTCTATTTCTTGTTTTATCCTTGTTTTTTTTTTTTTTTTTTTTAAAAGGAAATACTGTAAAACAAACTGTGCTAATTGCAGCACATAGTAGGCTGACCCAAACCGACTATGTCCCTCAATTGAAGGCCAATAATCAGGGGAGGTTCCTCCCATATCTTCAAGTCCCTATTGTGCTTGAAAGAGTTAGTGGCTAATATGGCGGCTCTATAAGCAGTCTGATCCTATAAACCAAAGGAAACAATGGATGGTTGTCGTGGCACCCATGAGTTATGGAATCTATTGCCGAAGACGAATCATTTTCTACCCACACTTGTCTATAGCCCAAGATTTATGTTTACTCTAGCCCAAGGTAGAAGCCCCACCGTTTACCATAGAGTTTCCACCACCAATTTTTTTTAGAAAAACCCAAGATTCACCTGCCTCTACAATCCCGGATTACATCTCCACGTCTGGACCTTTGGCTTTGTATAGAGCTTAAACCATCTACATTAATTTTTATCTTTGTTTTTGACAATGCCTAGACTAATGACTCATCTCCTGTGGGCAAAAAAATTTAAAATTTACAATTAAAATAGTAAATTACAAAATTAGTGTCGTTTTAAAATATTTAATACAACTAATACAATTAATTTGCAACTGTCACACCACAAGTTAATTGCACTTAAATTGATGTGCAACTAGTGTCACATCAATTTGGGCACAACTCACGAGACTTGCCACGTGACATTAAACATGTCTAAACATATTATGATTCCAAGAACTAAACTATTTTATTTTATTCAACTGATATTATTTTTTATTTTTCTCAAACTGGCTCATGATTCAAAACTAATTTATGATTTATAGTTGGTTTTGAACTACTTCAGGTATACAAATTATAATAGCCATAACATAATGAATAAGAATTCAGAGTAGTTGCAACTCTCAATAATATTTGTATTTAATAAAAAACAACCAAATAAGTGAAATTTACAATGCCCTTAAATAGGCAACAAAAAAGAAAATAACAAAAATTATAAAATTTTCAGTACAAAAAATAAAAAAATCAATTAAAACAACTCTGAAAATCTAAAAAACGTTGGTGCTTATAACAAAGCATAAGTCTTGATCAAAGGACTGATTCCGAGGTTTCTGTAAAATTTGAGTCTATTCCGAGATAATCATATCATTATCAATCTAGTCACTGGCTCTCAATAGTAAATCGCATATTACATGTAAATGACTACTCTTAATGCCACTCTTGTGAATTAAACCCAAACTGATGCGCAACGTGGCAAGCTACCATGAGTTGCACCCAAAATAATGCTCAACTTTTTCCTTAATTTAGTTGTGATTTATGTTTGCTTAATTCTTTTGTAGCAATGTATCATTTGCTTGATTCAGTTTTCATTTGTTTGCTATTCTAATTAACATTATGTAGCGATTATCTTACGATGTTGTTTGCTGGAGAAAAAAAAAAAAAAAAAACACTACCTAGAACTTGAATTGAAGATGTGTGTCGTGGTTTTTGTTTTTATAACTTCACACAAACATCCTACGAAAGGAGTTGTAGCACTAGCACACATTCACATCCTATGAAAGGATTGTATCTAACATACAAATATGTAAGATAAAATTCCAAGCGATTAAGTTGTTTGGAAAATTTTACGCTTATACTACAATAACCTTAGTAATGTTTTATTGTTGTGAGACGATGTTGGACCGGAGTGGTACTGTAGCGTTGATATGGGAAAAGTATACTCTTAACAAATTATTTGACAATTTTTTTTTCAATGTTCCATTTTCTGTATTTGATCTAAGTATTTTGATTTTAACTTTTGTTTAGAATCTGCAAAGCCAAAAATATTTTATTGAACTAGTTCATACCACGAATTCCTTGAACAAATTTATGGTGAACTAGGATTACGTGGTTTTTCAATTGAAATTTTGATATTTGGCTTAAAAAAATTTTAATCTTTTTTTTCTTCTTCTCTCATCAGTTTTTTTTGTCTTTCTCACTCCTTCACCCAACTGAATATTGTGTGCTCGAGGAGTCTTAAATATGCTCTCGTATTCCTTTACTCCATTCACTATTCTTAAGTTGCAGAGAAGCTTCTTAATTTAGCACTTACTTTTATACTTTTCTCCATGAAAATGATATTCAGGACTCATTTGATCTACTATAACATACTCCCTATAGATAGTGGCTCATGGGCAAAGATAGACGGTGGTGGAGGTTTGGGGTTTGTGGCCGCCTTATGTGGCAGGATTCTGGATGGGGTTAAAATACCATGGTGGCGGACAGTGTGACTGTTGGGGTCGGGATTGGCTGAATTTGAATCAAATATAAGGAGGTGGGAATGGTTCTATTTTAGTTGCGGGAAGGATGAGAAAGAAAAAATGAAATTCGATTTCAAAAAAAAAAGAAAAAATGAAATATATTTCCAAATTGATGAAAATCCAAAAATAAAAATAAATTTATGAGAATAATAATTGAAAACGTTTCTGAAAACCAAGGAACAAGAAAATCTTGCCGTTACTGGGAATAAATATTTGGTGTTACCGTTGTACAAAGATTTAGTACATCTCACCAATAGAAATATTATATGTCAGTTAATTTTTTTTTCTCTGTCAAATTTTCTCTCTCTTCTATGATGTGTAATGCTTCCATTGGTGGGATACATTGAATCTTGGTACAACAGTAGCACCAAAAATTTATTCTGTTGCCTGGTCGTTGCATTCTGAATATTGATCTTACCAACTTTTAAATTTATATTTTAAGTTTACCATTTTTACTAATTGTTTTATTATCGTTAGATCAACTTAAAATCAACTGTTGAAAAGAGAAAAAATTTAATTATTGTTGATTTTAAATTGATCCAACGGTAACCAAACAGATAATAAGAATGGTAAGATTTTCCCCAAATATAGAAAAAAGTTTTAGAAACTTCCCTGTAATTTATTTTTTTATCACTGACACCCCTATATATATATATATATATATATATATATATATATATATATATATATTGGTATGGCTATAGGTGGAAACACCCAGCCAAAAAACAAACAGCAAAGCAAAATCAAGTTACAAAGCTACGAAGGTAGCTCACAGAAGCCTTATCAGCCAAAACTAAATTATAAAGCGCGGGAGGAGGACTCTGAAGATAACTAAAAGTGTTTACTGAATGAGAATACAAAGAGAAGTTTGACAGCCAGTCTGCATAGTGATTCACTTCCCTATAAGCGTGTTGCAAACGAACAGACCAGCTCCTAGATAACCATGCTTGTATGCGAGTCACAATATGGGACTCACGAGCAGCATCACCATGCTTGGTGAGCACCACAATAACATTATTGGAATCACTCTCTACTATCACATTACGCCAGCCCCTTTCCCAAGCTGTTTCTAAACCTTTCAAAATACCTCAAAATTCAGCAACCAAGGCAGAACAATAGCCGATATTATATGTGAAACCTCCTAACCAATTACCAGCATAATCACGAAAAAGACCCCCACAAGCAGCCAAACCCGGATTACCTCGTGAAGCTCCATCCGAGTTGATTTTAATCCAGTCCTCTTCAGGTGGACACCAAGAAATAAAATGCTGGGAGCTACCACTGGATGTTGACTTTGCGGTATTATGTCTATAAGCCTCCATAACATGAGTAGCCAACCGTCTAACAACAATTCCTTTGAAAAAATCACCATTCGAATGTTGATCATGTACCAGAGCATTCCTCCAAAACCAAACCTGTGAACAAGCTATAAAGAATATTGTAATCCATGAAATACCATGAACTAGCATATCCGCAGCCATTAAATTAATCTGAAGCCAGCTGCTTAAATCACCTTGAAAAAACTCAGACACCTTATTAACAGGAACAAGATCCAACCATAAGCATTTTACTTGCTCACAGTCTAGCCAACAACATTTTAGTTGGAAGTCTCTGATGCAAAACCACATAAACAATTTAATCCTCTGCAGACCTTGCCACTTCCACACTTTCTGCCAATCAACCATCCACGGTTGCCCTATGCAGCTATAATCTTCTGTCAAATGATCATAAATAGATCTTGTAGTTACTCTTTGGGTACCCTAAAAAAACCATCGCTTAGTATCTGATCCATCATGAGGATGAGGAGGAAGAAGACTTTGAATCTGTTGCACCACCACAGAAGGAAGTAACAAAGTCAAGCCCTTTGAACCTCTTTCATGAGACTTGGACACAACTTCACGTTCAGTCTGTTGAACTTCCATCTCCATATTCATATTGGGAGGAGGCACAGCCTGATCAAGAACACGCTTAGATGGACAGTACTCAGATGAATGACCATATTTGCCACATGCAAAACATACTAAGTGGAGACCCTCATACTCAACTCTTTTGTTTCTACCATCCAACAAATATTCAGCTTGAAGAGGTTTTGAGAGATCCAACTCCACACAGATCCTTGCAAACTGTCCTCTAGCCAACAAAGTTGTAGCAGTATCAACCTTAATATATTTCCCTAGCCAATTTCCCACCGTCTCCACAAGTTCAGAATTCACATATTCTGTGGGAAAACCTGGAAGTCGAATCCAAGCTACGATGCGATCAATGGAAGCTTGCAGCGGTTGAAAATCAGGCTCCCATGATCTGATTGCCAGATAATGATCCATGATAATCCATGGACCTGCCGTCTTTACAAAATCTAAATCCTTCTTCTTCTTAAATCGAACAAGAAAAAAGTTGTTTTCAATATCAGTCACATAGATTTCACCATCCTTAGCCCATAAACTCTGAAGCCTCTTCTTCATGAACGTCAGTGACAGATTCATTCCCAGAAGTTTAACTATTAAAGAATTTTTCTATGGACCCCAGGCCTTCTTCTTAAACGATTCTGACAGTTTAAAATTGGTGCAACCATCTTCATCAACTTCTAACGTGATTTCATTCTTCCTTCCTTCCTGATCACCTCCTTCAGGAATCTCGCCAGTTTCTATTTCTTCGCAGCCATCTTCATCAATGAAATCCTCCAGCGATGACTCTTCTCCATTATGCTTTCTTAAAATATCTCTGAATGAAACATTAGGGTTCATCCACTCCTCTTCTCTAGGCACCATTGATTCTTCATGGCTATATCCCTCGCCTTTGTCCTTGTATTTCTTAGTACTCCTTTGCAGATTATCAGTCTCCTCCTTCGACAAGGAGGTCCTGACAGATGATTTCATGTACAAATAGCAACCCTAACCGAAAATAACGGAAACCCTAGCAGAGCTGCTTTGGCAGCCTAATTTGCCCTATATTTTTTCTTTTATACTTTTATCAATATATATATTTTTCTTATCAGTTACCCTTCTATGATTTTTTTCATCCTAGTCTATCTTTTAATACCATTAGTAATTGAACTTGTCTATTTTACCCCGATTTTACTTGCATAAAAAGTTGCTAATTAATCTGATATAAAAATTTTGGTCATTAGTAACAAATTTATTTCTTTTGTTAATGTAAAAACCAAAAAATTAATTTAAAAAGAAAAAAGAAAAAATCCTTTTTCAAAATAGTTCTTCCGATTATTTTACCTTTGACGTCCGCAAAAGGTATCCAATTCTATGTATGTCATGAATTAAGAGGTGTTTATTGAATAAAAATTTACTTGATCACATAACGAAAGTGGAAGCTTATCAGAAATAAAAAATTTAAGCAAAATATTAAAAAAAAAAGTATGGTAAAAGGGATTCAAATTAAAATTTGAAAAATAAATATGTTGTCAAAATCATTTTTGCAGCCAGTCTCCATATATTGGTCAAGTGTGTAAACACATCTAACATCAAATTATAATAGAAAAATGAAGGTTTAACTATTTCAATTTATTTCAATTTATAACTCACTACTTTTTATTGCTGGATTGAAAATTAGACTTCCCTATTTAATATGTTATACTTTCTATTTCAAACAGTTGACCATTTAAATATCATTACAAGTAACTATGAGTATCTTAATAATCCACAACAACCTTCTTATCTAATAAATTGTATCAAAAAAGGAAGGACACATAACTATATCATCAAAGGCACTTTGTTACTTGTGATCAAGATATTTATGTTAGATTAATTAGCAACTTTTTATACAGGTAAAATAAGGTTAAAATTTACCACCAAAACAATAAAAATAAATAAATAAGGTTAAAATTGGCAAGTTAATTCAATTACTCACTGTGTTAAAACTGGACTTGGACAAAAAAAAAATCATAGGAAGTAATTGATAAAAGAAATATAAGAGTATAAGTGATAAAAGAATAAATCACACGAGACTTATGAATTTTTTGTTAAAATGTAATATGAATTTTCAAATTTTTTTTGTCATTGTGCAGCACCTTAATCCAGCCTCATGGGCCTATCATGGTACATCAAATACACGACTCATTTTTAAAAACCCCGTTATATTTTCAAGTTGGGCCAATGAGGGCCTATATAAAGTAAAAGTTAAAACAAGTACATAAACATGTATGCTAACAATTGACAAAAAAAAAAGTTATTAATCTTTCGTGCTTGTAAGCAACAAGTAGAAGAAATAAATTTTTTTTTTTACACGAAATAATATTTTCTTTGCATGTATGTGATGATGAATTTGACTTCCCAACCAGAAAACCAAAAAGTAAAATAAAATAAAATATGAGGATATAATAAAAATTGAATAGAGAAGGTTATACTTATAATCATTTTTGTTTACAACCTTTTAATTATCACAACTTTTATTATTGTTTGATCAAAATTAAATCAACGATTCTTATTTGATGCCATTTTACAACCGTTGACTTGATTTTAATGAAACAATAATAAAAATGATTGTAAGGAAAAATTGATGGTGAGTAAAACTTCTCTCGAATAATAATAATAATAATAATAATAATAGTTTGTCAGTAGTTGTCGTAATGACTTGCATGATTGCAGCTGTAACATAAAAATGACTTGCATGATTGCAGCTGTAACATAAAAAGGTATTTGTAGAGTAGTTGTTAAATGTGAGAGCTGTTCTGTCAGTGTAGGCCCATGCAGTTACATATATTTGTAGTTACATAAAAAGGTATCTATGCACAAATTGCAGAACATTATTCATGTTTGTAGTTACATATAATAACAAGAGGGCATGCAGTTGGGAACACAAGACGACCTAACATTTTTTATTTTTTTTTAATTTAGTAATCAGCTGGCCTCGGAGTTAATTTATACATTCCTCTCTCTATCTCTCCATCTTTTTGATGTCAGCCGAGTATGACGAATAGTATGAGATATATGAACAATTTATTCAATTTAAAGTAAATTTAAGGTTCAAGTTTAAAAGTATGAGAGGATATCACTTATTTTTGATGGAGATGAAAAAAATAATGAAGCCTAATGACTTGGGGCATGTTTGTAGTTGACCGACGGATAAGCGCCAATTTTCCAAACCAAAAAGCAATAGAAGGCAAATGGGTGCTAGTTACAGATAACGATTTTCAACAAGACCCACTAATATGTCATGAAAAATTTGTGTTAGAGTCGATCCATTTTTAAATTTACGTCATGTTTGTATTGGTAAAATTTGATTTAAAAAAATTCGTTTCGTATCTGGTATCAACCCTGCGAATTCCAAATTGACCTAGGTTCATTTTTTTAAGAGTTATTTGTGTCGAGTTATGTCATAAACATATTATTCGTTCTTATAGTTTGATGTCAACTCTCGCTGAGAGTATCCTAGCAACTAAAAGACGTGAGTGAACTTGGCATTTCATTGACAAATCGCTTGAAATTTTAATCCATATAAGGAATTTTGCAATTTGCACACAACATTAGGCATGGAACAATGAACCCCAGGAGGCAGCATCGGTATTGTTCTTTGGTGAAGTGGAAATTCTCATCAGACTCGATCGGTGTCCTCAACATTGTCAATTTCTACATGTTCAAAAAGATCATTAGTATTATAAGAATTCGGATTAGTCTTTCAATTTACCTTGTTTTTATAGCTTGGTGGATAACCATGCTTTTTGAAGGTTTCAATCATATGATTCATTTTACCACAATGTATACACAACTTTTCAACATTTGATCTTCCTCTCTCATAGCTCGAACAACCTCTACCTCTACTGGAGTTGTATCCACAACTTTGTACCTGATCACTGACATTGGTATTCAAAAATGCTCTTACATCTACGTTCACATCAGAATTAATTTGCCTTTCCTGTTGTGTGATCCATTATCTACGAAAGGATGTGAGCAAATTGCTGATTAAGCCCCTTTGAGATCCTTTAAGAAACAAATAGCATGATCTTTTTCACAACTTGATCGTGCCTGCAGTTGCATCATTGTTCCACAAGCACACATTGGAGTGCAATTACACTTTGGCAATGGACCAATGGTTGTAAAATATCAAGCTCATCCCAAAAGGTGTTAAGTTTGGTGAAGTATTGAGTTATTGTATTGTCACCTTGATTTATGCGATACATATCTTCTTGAATGTTCGCAATTCGAAACACATCTGACTGAGAGAAACACTCATGAAGATATATCTTTCCATACATACGAAGCTTATTCCATGCATAAAATTGATTATACTATGGAAACAACAATGGAGTGATGTTACAAGTTCCACATTGGTTGCCTATACAACTAACGTGGAATTTATAAGACCTTGGACACTCCCACCACCCTCTGAGCTAGCTTCTGGGATGGTGACCTCAAGGTCCGTAATAATTGGTTCTTTAATTGAGAGTTGAGGTCACGGAAAGAGCTACCTATAGGCTGGATTAAAGTGTCTTTGAGCATTGAATACTAATAAGTGAGTGAAGCCGCCCCAAAGGGGAAAAGGGCTCCCGTCGGATTAGTGTCGATAAAATGAAAGCCGCCGTGGACATCGGAGCTTAAAGGGAGTGACAATGTTACAAGTCCCACATTGGTTGCCTATACATTTAATGTGAGATTTATAAGACCTTGCACTCCCACCATCCTTTGAGCTAGCTTTTGGGATGGGGACCTCAAGATCCGTAACAACACCATTTTCACGATCTAACCGAGCTGCTGTAATTTTTACCATCGAGAAGGGGAAACCAGCACCAACGAAGGATTTTCGTTAGGGTGAAGTATAGACTTAAAGGATTTGTGAGAAAATATGGTAAGGAAGAAGTTAGGAGCTCTGGTTCGCTGAAGCCATTTTAGCAAGACAGAGAAAGTCTTTATGCGGAAGCAAAGAAAGAAAGAAGAAAGAAAATGGAGCAGCGATGAATACCAAAGCTCTAGATGAGGTCTGATACCATGACAGTGGAGGAAAAGCAACACTGAATTCTCATTACATTGTTGCTCATCACGTGCATGGGTTAATATACGACTCAGCTCATTTATACACGTGCTGAAATAAAGGAAAATGGAAAAGTAGAAAATGGGTAACAACTGAACTGACTAACGCTCATACCACTTAAGCATATAAATAACTGAAGATAAAGAAGTCACAAGCTGCATATTTGTACATGTGAAATATATGTAATACATATATTGTCTTCAGATTTTGGGTATTCATTTACATATATATGCTGAAGAAGCTGTGAGGAACTCAAAAAATATTATTTATATCCGCGTATTTAATTATAGAAATTTTTTTTTAAAGAAAATTTTAAATATATTAAAAAACAAGAAACATAAATAACAAAAGAAAAAAACTTCAACTTAACATAGAAAATTATTTCCAACACCTTTTTTTTTAATCAAGCTGATTTGTTATATGACATCATAAAATATTCAATAAAATATATGGCTTCCCATTTCATTTTAGGGTACTCCATTCA